GGACAGAGCTGAACGATCAGATGGACGGATAGTGAAGATGGAGGTTGACTACAGTGCTACTGTAGATCAGCGTCTGCCTGAGTGTGAGAAAATGGCCAGAGTGAGTGTGAACGAGCGGCTGAGTCATGCTGCGTGCTAAAGCTAACGTTAATCAAGTAATTCCAGAATTAAACTATATGAATGATTTACTTATTATAAAGCTCTCTAACGCGTTTAATTTAAAAAAAAGTTGTATTACGCAGACATAAACCTCTCAGGAAACTGCTGTCTACGTAGACATTTGACTTTCTAGCTATAGGTACTTCACCATTCATATTTCATCTCTGATAAACAATTCCAGATAAATGCACAGCGATTTGGGCTCTAGCTTTAACATGCGACAGAAAAGAAAAAAACATAATATTCTGTTTTTGCTTTTAAGGATGGCAGACTACAGGAGGCCATCGAGAGTCTACTGTCACTAGAGAAGCAAACAAGAACTGTAAGTGTCTCACTTTGATCATTTCATCTGTTTAATGCTAAGTTGAATTTCTTAGCTCTTAAAATGCTCTGCATTATTTGCATGTGTCACTTCTGTCCAGGCTTCAGACATGTTGTCCACTTCCAGGATCTTGGTGGCTATAGTTCAGTTATGCTATGAAGCTAAAGACTGGGATGCCTTGAATGAAAACATCATGCTACTGTCTAAGAGAAGAAGCCAGTTGAAGCAGGTAGGAATACTGTTTTAAGCACATCATGGAGCCAGTAATTGAGCTCATGATGCCTAATAAAAATATCCATCCACCAGCCTGTCATTTTAAAAACACATCTACATAATGTATTTGAGTAGTATTGGAGAATATGCAGAGATGATAAATGAAAGTAATAGCAAAGAAAAGTACAGCAATTCTGTAAAAAAGCTCTAACAACTTATGTAACCATATCTCTTTGGATGATACAGTGTGCTAACATGTTTTATATTATATTGTATTTTTAGAAACATAATTTTATATATAGTTATATTAATGTTACATTTATATATGAAATATTAAAACAATAGCTGGACATTTTTGGTGAAGTGATGCAGTGAAGATGAAGATTATGACGAACACATTAAATCCAGATCATTATTGACTTTCAGTGGTAATTTTCAGCCCATTTCCTCTTAGGGGTGGGCGCTATAGCGGTATGAAAGTGACTACCGGTATCATGTTGTTCCATGATATGGATTTTGCTATACCGTGGATACCGTTA